GGTTTGGAAGCCGGAAGTCCAAGATCAAGGCACTGCCAGTGCTGGTTACTTCTGAGGCCACTCACCTTGGTCTGTAGGCAGACAGACATCTTCCGTGTCCTCACACGGTCTTCCTCTGTGAGTGTCTGTCTGCTAATCTCTTCTTAGAAGGCACTAGCCAGATTGGATTAGGGCAAACCCTTCATGGCCCTATTTTACTTTAATCATCTCTTTGAAGACCCTGTCTCCAAATATAGCCACATTCTGAAGCTCTGGAGAGAGCACAGTCCAGCCCATAATAGCAAGTGACATTGGGAGAATGAGCGAGAAGAGCTGAAACTCAGCCAGGGGCTGGAGTGTGGCAGCAATTGGGGGGCAACATGAGTGACACAGACACATGGTGGGTGGATGGATGGAAGGATGGAGTGGTGGATGGGAAGATGGGGGAACAGATGGATGCCATGCCCAGCAGAGTGCCAGGCAGAGAGAGATCTTTAGATATTTGTCCTCTGAAGGATTTTGTGCCATGACATTTTCTCTACTATTAAACAAGGGATGTGGCTGAGATTTTTTCAAGAGTGTGGACCCTTTTTCCGGGAATCCCATAGGATGGAAATGTCTCTTATGGACATGCACTTAACAAGTGTTACTGTTTTACAAAAGCACTCATCATACATAGTTCATTCCCTAGCTCCTCATATCTGTTGGAAACACAATCAATTTATGGCATTGATCTTTTCACCAGAAACATGCCAATAAGCATGAAGTGAGATACATATCTATTGGGTTTGTGCACTTGAACTGTGAAACTTAATGCAACTCTTAGATAATCGAATGAAAGACTTAAAAATAAAAAAAGTAGGCTGTGAATTCAAAATGTATTAAATATAAAACCTTGCCATGATTTTTAAAGGTATACTTTTTAAAAAAGGATCTTTTAAAATATGCTTATCTGTAAAAGATATGTTATTTATAAAATGTTATATAGTGATTGAACAAATATTTCAGATGGCAGCCTAAGTATTGATATGGTTTTAATAACAAAATAACAAAATAATCACACACCTTGGAGGTTGTGTCACCCACATTGTTTCAGAACCTAAATATCACAATGAGCTTAACACGTTTGCCCTTAGTACACAAAACCAATAATGTGTGTGTGTGTTTTAATGCTGCGAGCCCAACATTTATGGCAGATGTGAAAAATTGTATTTAAATTAGAAATGCTAAAATTAATATTTATTGACTTGGTGTTTCATTATCATTAGAAATTAGTTTGTTCTTGGGTAAACAGTTTATAGCAAGATATAAATACGTTCCATTGACCTATTAACTGGCCCAATATATTATGGAGTTATTGACGGCGGCAGTAAAATTTACTAACAGCTATTAAACCTTTTAACACACTTGATGTGCCTCTGTCCCTGGAAAACCCAGGAATTAGGGGTGGGTGTTTTTTTAAGGATAATCTGCTGCTGATATTAAATTCTTCCAAGATTTTAATATATTGTCTAAGTTTATGGGTCATAAAATAAGCCTAGAGCTTACAAAAATTTACATGACAATATTATTTTTTTTAAAAAGGGCATGTAAATTTTAGTACAGTAGGAATGATGATATAAACCACTAGAACACATAAAAAAAAAGTTCCCCAAACTGCATTAAAGAGTATTTAGGGTCTTATTTCAACACACAAAGCCCGCAGACTGGCCGGGTAGGCCAGTGTGCACAGAGGATTTAGGGTGTCTCAAAGTGAACAATCCCACATAAAGAACAGAGCCACATCCAGGCTGGGTGACCAGGGACACCGCAGGGCCCAGTGTGTATCACTGGCTGCCTCTCTGGGGGGGCCGGAGCTGGGGTTGGAGTGGCCGGGGTGCCACTGTTCCACAGACTGTCCTTGTCAGTGGTGCACTGGCTGAGCCGAGGTCTCTGTGCTGGAACCACAGGGACAACATCCCATTGCGGACTCCACAGATGCCAAGCAGTGGCCCAGCGGGTCCCTGTGTCAATGTGGAGCCAGCCTGTGGCCTCCGTGGCCCTCGACCAGCCTTGGGGCAGCCCCCCGCAGAGGTGGTTCCCAGGCCTCCTGCTGGAAAAGCTCCCAAGGCCAGTTACTGCCGCTGCTGTCCCTGCAAGGCCAAAGCCGAGGTCCCATCTGGTCCTGCATCACCTCCTCCCCCATCTTGGGGTGTGTGTTACTGTCCTCAGTCTGCCGTAACAGAGCCACTCATGGCTTAAAATGACAGAAGTTCTGGAGGCTGGAAGTTCAAACACAAAGTGCTGGTGGGGCCCCGCTCCCGTGGACGGCTCCGGGTGAGGGTCTTTCTTTGCCTCTCTCACCTGTCCCTTGGCCTGTGGTGCATCAGCCAGGCTCTGCCTCCTGTCACAGCTCTCCTGCTCTCCGGCCTGTGTCACGCCTCCTTCTGCTCTTCTCACGGGACTACACGTGTTGGACTCAGGGCCCACACAGACACCCCAGGATAATTGGGATGGTGAGTTTCATATGTCAGTTTGGAAGATGCCACCCAGATATGTGGTCAAGCATTAGTCTAGATGTCATTGTGAAGCTACTTGTGGTGATAATTTTATTAACATATGTCAACTGGACTGGGCTATGGGATGCCCAGATAGCTGGTTAAAGATCACTTCTGGGTGTGTCTGCTTTTGGTGTTTTTGGAAAAGACTGGCATTTGAATGGGTGACTGGAGTGGAGCAGAGCCCCCTTCCCCCCGCCAGTGCTGTACATGGTCCAGTCCACCAAGGGCACAAAAAAGGCAAAAAGGAGGAGGAAGGACAGCTTCTCTGTGCTGGACTTGGACATCTGTCCTCTCCTATCCTGGGGCATCGGCACTCCTGGTTTATAGGCTTTTTTGGATCCAGACCGGGAGTTGCACCATCAGTCCCCCAATTCTCAGGCCTGTGACTGAATTTTATTGGTTTGCCTGGTTTTTCAGCTTGCACACAGCAGACCATGGGGCTTCTCAGCCTTCATAACCCCCTAAGCAGATCCCTATAACAAATCTCCTATGGTAAATACTAGTTCTGCTTTTCTGGAGAGCTCTGATGAGCAGGGTATGTTTTAGATGAGTCTTAACATTTAAATCAGTCAACCTTGAGAAATGCAGATTACCCTCCATAAAGTGGCTGGGCCTCATCCAAGGAGTTGAAAGCCTTGAAAGAAACAGACTGCGATCCCTGGAAGAGGAGGATCTTCCAACATACTGCAACAGGCTTGGCCTGCAGTGGCAGCTCTTCCTGGGTCGGAAGGCTGCTCGCCAAACCTGCAGATTTCGGACCTAAAAAGTCTCTTTCCCTCTCTCTATATATATACATATGCTGTTGGTTCTGTTTCTCTGGGAGCCCCGATGTACACAATAATCTATCTCAAGTGAACAAAGACTCCTCTTCCAAATAAGGTGACATTCACCATTCCAGAGATTTGGATATGGAGGTGTGTTTTGAGGGCCCCCATTCGCCCCACCCAAGGTGCAAGGCACATGTGTAGCTGGAGTGACAGTGGGGAGAGTCACAGGAACCCCAAATGTTATTCAGGAAAGATCTGTTCCTATGTGTCTTACATTATATTCTTGTCCCAGTAACTCAGGGACATGTGATGAGGTCACAGCTGAACAGAGGTTCGGCACCACTGGTGTACGGCAGAACAGGAGAATCAGGAAGATGAGAGCCTGCGGCACAGCGGCCAGCCCCCGTCTGGGTGAGTGGTTGTGCCTCCCCCTGGAAGGAGTGGGCTTTGCCTCTCGAGGTGTAAGGTAGTGACAGCCTCTGCCCAGGGCTGTGGCTGCGCCCTGTCCTGCAGGGACTGAACCTACGGCTCGAGTAGCACCATGATGCAGCCATGCGGGGCCCCAGCAGACAGCGCCTAGACCATGAGCTTGCAGCAGGAAGGGGAGCTGTTCTGCGGGTAGTACACAGTCAGGTGTTTGCCTAATAAGTGAGCAAAAGCCAGTAAGGCGCGAAAGACAAGGGGCAGTGGGGAGCGCTGCCAAGGCCACACGGAGTCTCACGACGTTCCCACTGTGTGCCAGGTATCAGAAGCTCAGAGTGAGACTGGGTCCCCGAAGGAGTCTACGGCGTAACTGGGGAAGCCTAGTTGAAATATAAAACATGTATATAGTATACATAGGTATGTAGAATACACATCTGTGAGATTAAGTGTATACACTTCTTTACAGATGGCATTTTAAAAGATAATGCTGTGTGTGTGTGTGTGCATTGTGGTAGTAGAGTAATGCCCCTCCTCAAGATACGAGGCCCTCATCCCTGGATCCTGCAGATGTTACTGTATATGGCAAAGATTCTACAGACGTGACTAAGTTAAGGGTCTTGAGATGAGGAGGTTTCCTGGCTTACCTGTGTGGACCACAAATCACACGGGTCCGTCAGGGCCCCACAGGAAGCAGATGGGCTCTCCAGCAGAACAACCCCAGAAGGGCTTGTCCACAAAGGGTTTCATTACAGGGACGTGTGTGGGTGATGGAAACCACAGGGGACAGCGCCAAGGCCCCCTACAGTGGAGCTGTCACCACCCCTGGGCCCAAGGGACAGGAGAGGGGTGGTAGCCAGAACCAGGATGGAGGAGACTCGAGCGGGACAGTCTACCCAGAGGGAGCAGGGAGGAGTGTCTGGGCACAGCCAGCCCGAGGCGCCTCGGAGGGGGAACAAATGCCCCGATTCTACCTGATATCTTCCCGATAACCCTCTGACTCACTCACTCTGCGGATAGTAATTCCGAGCTGAGAACCAGTGGAGGAGGATAAAGGGGGACCCAGAGCGGTGAGCAGAGGACGCTGAGCACGTGCTGTCACCAACACTGCTCCTGTCGGCCTGGTCTCCCAGAATGACAACTAGCCACCTAGAGGCAGAACACGGGACAGGAAAGACAAGGGTGACAAAGAAAGGTGGAGAAAGGACTGTGTGTTGGTAAGAAAGTTACTGTGGACCCTGTCACCAACCACCAGATTGGAAGCTGAGCTTGGAAGAACACCGCCGAGAGGCACTTGCGAATCCTCTCCCTGAAGAGAGTCAGGACACTTTTATTCTTTCTCTTGAGGAGTCTGCAGAAATTGAGTAAAAAAGTCGTTGCTGTCAGTAGCAGCTGGTTGCAATGAGTCGGCAGCGTTGCTCTTGCGGCTGGGTTCCGTGTCTGACGAGGGCTAGAGGGTGGCACTGGGATAAGCTCCTAGAAGTTGAAATGTACAGCTTTGTCTGGGGCTCCTGGGTCTTTGGGTAGAATTTTCCCTAAGGACAAGCTGTCCAATCACATCACTGCTATTTTTCTTACTACTTGTTGTCTCTCCCCTACTGGGTTTGGCTAGGAGATTGCATTAGAGTTGTCTAGAGAGACAGAATCAATAAGATATGTATATAGACAGAGAGAGAGAGAGAAAAGACATTTATTATGAGGAATTGGCCCACACAACTTTGGAGGCTGCAAAGTCCAAATGTGCAGCGTGGAGCAGCAGGCCAGAGGCCCGGGATAGCCAGCGGTGACTGTACAGGCCCAGGTGGAAGGTCATCTGCCGGAGTTTCTCTGGCTTGGGGAGGCCAGTCTTTTTGCTCTATCCAGGTGATGGAATGAAGCCCACCCACATCACAGCGGCAATCTGCCTTACTCGGTGTTCACTGAATTAAGTATGAATCTCATCTGGAAACACTGTCCAAGCTGACATCTGCAATCGGGTACCACAGAGGTGGACCAGGTGCGTCCAGAGAGGATGATGGTGGCAGTCTACTTGGTACTGCCGTGAGAATTCGGACGGGTCCACACCCTTCTGAAACCAGAGGAAGACATGGTGTGGTTGGCAGTCTAACATCAGATCTAAGCAGCGTGACACTACTGCTGACCACTTTCTCCCAGAGGTGGCCTACAGCCATCCCAAGCCTGGGTCACTGGCACGTTGAGTCCCTGGGACAGTGCTCTGCCGAGCCACCTGTTTGCACAAATGCACTGGACACTTGGCCACATGAAAATCTTCCTTTGATCTGCAAGTCATGACCAAAGAGAAACAGAAGATCAAATAACATTCCAGAGGCACTGTCACTGTCGTCACCAACCCAGACAACTCACACGCTAATACACAGTCACTGAGCGAGCAACACAGGCGAATGCCTGGTGATGCTCACTTTGTTTACTCGACCACTTACCTAATAAAGATCGTGACATATCAAAAATACTTTCTGGAAACCATTAAATACCGTAGTTGTAAGATTTCTACAGACTGATGGAGACTGTGCAACAGGATGATTTTCATCAAAGTTGGCTTTGAATTCTCTTGGAGACAGAAGCTTTAGAACTTGACACATTCTTTTCTGCCCTCCAGGACTCCTAAGCCCCCAGGCCTGGGCGGTCCTGAGCACAGGGAGGCGTGGTCTGCGCGGGACCCCGTCCATAAACGCGATGCGATGGCGGTTTCTCGGTGAGTGTTGGTCGTGGAGAGTCGATTAGACCACTCGGGTCGAAACCGGACTGATTCCAAACACCTCGGCCCTTCGCCCACTTCGGTGGCGGCTCCGCTCCCCAGCAGGGCACGGCAGAGGAGTGCCCACAAGTCCCCCAGCACAGGGCACGGGCTGGCATCCCTGTAGTACACGGTTTGTAGAGAATGAAAGCAGCTTTGGTTTGCTTTTGTACGCGCGCGCCCAGTTCCCGGCGTGACGCTACGGTTTCCGCGCTCGCCTTTGAAATATAGTAAACTCACAAAAGCTACCGTCGAGTTCAGAACAAACACAGGGGGTATGTTTAGTTATTTGTTTTTGTAGTAAAATAAAATATTTATTATCCGCAGACACCTACTGTGAACAGAGGGGGAGGCCACTGCGTTTTATCTTGCCGGTGTCATGTTTGACTTCCATTAGGGATGGATTATAGACCTGTGGGTTTTCATGAATTCAGAAAGTCCACTTTGAACACTGATTTCAAAGCCTACAGGGGGTGTGAGGAATGTAAGAACACAGCTTTGGAGGGAGGAACCTGTTGCATGGAGCAAGCACCTCGTGTTTGATAAGGCAGAGTGGAGGTTCCCTGAGAGAGAGCGAGGGCAGGGCGCTTTTCCCTTAATAAGACGACTTTAAAGGGAGCTTTCCTATTGTTTCCTCCACACTTTCCTCAAGGTGTACACAATTAATTCAGCCTTGGAATCCTGAGAAAATAACCACGGCACCAGTCCGCTCAGCCTTCCCCGTCTCTAACTTATCACAGGGAATCTGAAAGTGCACTGAATCTTCGGGGGCTCCTGTCTCAACGCCGGCACGTCTGCAGGCGAGCTGAGCGTGCTCACGTGCACGCGTGTGCCCGCACCTGCACCCAGGGTGTGTGCACCTACAGAGAGGGCAGCCGGCGCGGGATGGAAGACCACTCTCGGCACCATCTGGAGTCCAACCACACCTAGACCCCATTCTGAGCTGCACACGTCGGAATACTTTGGCGCACTGGCCTGTCTGACACGGGGAGCCCTGGATGCGAGGGGGATGCCCATCCCTTGGAGGAAAAGCCGGAAGAACAATGGAGAAGGAAAGAGTTGAGATAAATCCAATTGACGCCCTCAAGAACGTGGAAGACTATCTCGGGAAGGGGGCCCGAATTTTTGCTGCACTGTCGGAGGGGCCAAGGCTAGCCTCGTGGGTGAGGATCTCATGCACTTGGGGTTGGGTCTTTGGAGGGAAAGTTCTAACAGCATCCTCAGCGGGCCTAGAGCCACAAATTACTGCAAGACTGCTGATCCCTTGGTGGGGAGGATGTGAAAGGTGAGGGGACTGAATTAACAAGTGGGAACAGCTATGGGTCTGGAGGAGTCCCTGGCTCAAGAGCTGAGAAGTCATCTCCAGGTCAACTGCATAGAAAAAAAGGAACATATCGGGTGGCATGTATGGAAATATGCAAAGGGACTCCTCTGCTTGCTTCAGCCCAAAGGAAGGTCCAGGGACACTCTAGTCCTTGCCTTACAATACCAAGGGCCACACATTTCTCCTTCCTGTCACCTTGACTCACACACATCCAGAGCCTACTATGACGGTCCTAGCATGAGTACTCCCATCACCCCTGGAGACTTAGATCCAGAGAGCATGACCAGGAACAGACTATTTATCTTCTTCTAAGCAACACAAACCACCTGAATAAGAGTGTTGACTTAATTCTATGCATTTTTCATAATGTCCTTTTAAGGACAAGCACAATGGAGGTTTCTGTACATGGGAGCAACACAGAGAACATTCACCTGGGAATTGGGGGTCTTGGTGGGGCAGAAAGGCTCTGGCTTGGGCTCTGACTGTGCGAGTGGCTTTCAAGCCATTGCCACCAATGGCTTTCTCTGCCAGTGGGACTGTTCTATATTAGATACTCAAACTAGATTTTAGGAAAAGCAACCCCTTAGGATTTTAGGGTGCTCTAACCCCATTACTCTTTCCTCTTGCTTCCAAATGTAGTTTCCCACAAATATTCAAGGAACCAAGGCTCTGCCTGGGAATGTGACTGTGCCTGGGAAGCCCCCGCCGTGCCGATGGCAGTGAGGAGTGACTGCTCCACGCCAGGTGTTTTAGAAGCTGTGCCTGCTCCCACTCTGTCCCTCTGCACCTGGGAGCTTTTCACACTTGGGCCTCCTTAACCTGCAGCTCAGGAGCAGACAGGCCTGTGTTCACACTTCAGTCCTCAACTGAAAGGAATGTGTGCTTGACCAAGACCTCCATCCTGGGCGTCTTGGAGGCGGGGGCTGAGACCCCCCGGGTAGCTCACAGCCTGGCCTGCCACAGGCCATCCATTGTGTTTTATTCAGCTGAGACGTATGGCCAGTGAGCATGTTGTACATTTTTGAGCTTGCCAAAGTAACACACTGTGCTTATGTTTTCCTTTTTAATTTCTAAATTTCTTAGACTTTAATAGCAGCTTTTATTTGTTTGTTCAGGCATTCAACAAACACTAATTGAGCAAAAGCAAGACAGAAGAGCTCTCAGCTCTTCCACATGAAACATCACAAGCTGTGTACAAGTGTGGGTACATCTCCCCAGCTGCTTCTGGTGGGGGGGGGCGGCAGTCTGACACCTCGCCCTCTGGCACAGCCTGTCCAACTCCTTCCTGACTGTCCACCCACCTGCCATCAGAGTGCCCAGCAGCTGCACCCCAGTATGTCACCTTTTTAGCTGCTCCTTAGTTAGTGCCCATGGGCGAGGCCCCAGCCCACGTGCTACTTCATAGCAGGGTGCTTGGCTGGGTCTCAGAGAGCCAGTGGGTGCTGTAAATGTGCCCAAAGGTGACACGTGAGCAAGTCAACTGTCTGTGCACCTTGTGAAATATTCACTCCTGGCTCCGGATTCTCCTGGAACCCTCTCTGGAGGCTGCGGATTACCTAGCAGCCAGGCTTGGCATGGACGCTGGAGCAGGAATCCCTGAAGCAGATTAATTATGGACTTCTGAGCTGGGGATACCGATATCATTGATTTCCAGGAACAGTTTGTGTGTGGCTCCCAACCAAGCTGCAGCTAGCTGGTGGGAAGAAACAGGCTTATCACTGAGGAGGGCCATTATACTGGGGGTCTGTGAGTCTGCCTGAGACCTGGACCCCTGCCCAGCCTCAGCAACAGCCGGACCAGCCTGGGCAAAAATGCTTAGAGCTTGGTGGAGTCGTTGCCATTGGGGAACTGCCACACCTGACCTTTAGAATGCTGGGACCAACCTCTAAAAGCCTGTGCATTTGGAAGGGCAAAGGAAAGGAGAGTCATGCCTGCTCCCAGGGATGAGGGTTCACCCTCCTTGAGGTTCCTTCTTCATTCTCCAAAGACACGTAGAAGCGACCTGGGGACAAAGTGGCTGCTCCCCTCCCTTCACCTGTCCCTGCTTCTTTCCTTTTCTAATTTGCTCTTTCTTCCAAAAGCACATCATGGAAACTTGTCCAGTTTGGACTGAGAGCCTCTCATTGGCAGGCCTGGCTCTGCCGTGATGGTAGAAGCAGGATTACAAGAAACCCTTTAGCAGCCGACCGTCTTTGAGGCTCACAGAAGGATGCACAGAGCACTTCTCCTGCAGAGCGAGGCTCGAAAAGAACTCTCACTTTCTAAGACCCCCAATAGCGCACGCCCATGTGCCTTAGGAAGTTGTAATTTCACTGCTGGAAAGTTGAATTTCCTGTTTTCCCTGATTCATGTATCAAAATCAATGCTATATCATACTACATAAGAATATCTCAGACAGTTTTTAAAAGTATTGTTTTTTTTGTTTTTTTCCCCACTTAATGGAAGTGCTATCGAAAATGGTGCCTTCCTGTGCTTGGTAAAACAGCTAGGTTCCTGTAGCATTAAGTTTATGAATCAAGCTTAGAAACTTCTGGAAATTAAGAGTCAGGGTTCCCACGGCAATCTCCGTTGTTCCATTACAGAAATTTATAATGACAATTTTTTTTTTTATCAATCAATCCTGTAATAACAGACAATGAGACACACAGCTTGGCTAATATTGTAGAGAAGTGGCTCACCATTTGAAGAGATAAAAAAAAACAAAAAAAAAACAAAAAAAAAAACATGTGGGCACCTTGTCCCACCTAGGCAAGCTGAGTATCAGAAGTTCTGCCACCACGAGTCAAGAGAAAGATTCACAGCCTGTGCTTTTTAACTTTTCATGCCTTCATCCAAGAACCTGTGAGCATTTCCTCCACTTTGGCAGACTGAGCTCTGGGCAGCAGCCGTGAACCACCATCCATGCCTGAATATAGTCCTGTCTGCAAGATCATTTAGCATGTGCTACCTGCTGAATCTCATACTCTAATTGCATGCAGCTCCTCCACAGAGTGGTCTTCTTAGCTGGGTGTGTTGGGGACAGTGAAGCAGGACATGTCATTTCACGCCTGCAGTGACTTGCAGCAGCTAGTCTGGCCACTTGCCCCTGAGTTTAAACAGCGAGCTTGCAAGCTTGCAGCAGAGGGGCACAACTGGTTCAGCCCGCGCTTCCCCCGTGGCTGTCCTCAGCCTGCATGCTCCCTTCCCCGCTGGAGCACACACCTTTCTGGCCCCGGGGAGGCTGCAGAGGGCCAGCACGGGCAAGGCAGGTCTGCCACAGCAGCCATGCTGACCATACCACTGGAGAAAAACCATCTCATATTAAACCCAAAGCAGTTATGTCATCGGATCTAAAATGTGCATGATGTTTCATGACAAAATGCAGGATTTCCATTCAGCAAATATTTAATCAAGTCCCTGCAATAGGCCAAGCACTGCTAAAGGTTCTTTACAGCTCAAATGTTCCAAGCACACTCTCTGAGCCGGTGGCTGTATTCGTTTACTCCTCACACCACCTTAGGAGGTAGGAGCCTTTTTATTTCTTTTATTTTTTGCCATAATTCCCAAATTTCAATAACAATGTAGAACCTGTTGACCTAAACTTCCTCCCTGAATTGCTTGGCCTGGCCGCCTCACCTCCTGACGCCACTTTGCCCCCCTCTCCCTAGGGCTCTCCTTCAGCCAAACCACACGACTCACAGCACGTGTGAAAATCCACGCTTCCTGGCATCTCCAAGGCCTTGCTGAGCTACTCTCTTTTCCACTTGGTGAGTGCCCACCCTGCCAGGAATCCTTCTCTGCCTGCTCCTCTGACCTGCCAGGGTTAGGTGCTCCCGAAGCACCCCACAGGCATAGTTCCCGGTGTCAGTGGTGGCAGCCATCACCGGGTCCTCATGCTCTGCTCACAGCCTGTCCCCACCGCAGGCTCTGGGCTCTTGGGAAGGGCAGGTGCACAGCGTTTGCTGCTGCAGCCTCAGTCCTGACACCACACCTGGTTCTCGGGGGGGTACGAGGTGAATGAGTGAAGGAACAAATTAAGCTAAAATACACCATTCCCTTGATATTCCGTTTTGAAATGTTGAGAAAAAACAAGAATGTCAACTTGAATATTGCCTGTAGCCACTCCAACACAGGGAGGCCAAATGTCTATGTGTGGCGAATTGAGGAGAAATTTGGTCTATGTCTTGAGACACTGCAAAGCCCAATGGTCAGGGGACAAATATTAATAGGTCCTAATTAGGTCAAAATTACAAATGGGGTGGCAGTTCTGAAATGGGTAAGTGACAAGGAAGGCACAGGAGTGTCTGCCAATGAACCCCTCACCTGTGGGCACACCTGCAGTGCGTGCTGCCAGTGCCCACCCAAATCCCTGCTTCCTAGTCCGTTTCCGGAAACCTACAGGGTTACCTACCCCCATGTGCTCCTCAGCTGCAACCAATCACTGACAGAAATGGGGTACAAGGACCAGTTGTCTCATACCTGGGGACCTGGCAGCCCACCCCAGGATCAGGCCAAGGCTAGGCTTTGGGGAGACCACAGCCCTGCTGGCCTCTGCCCCTTCTCCTACCTCCTCCTGTTAAGGTGTTTCCTGGGGCACGTTCCCTCAGCTGGCCGTACCTGTCCAAATCCCTGCCCCAGGCTCTGCTTCTGGGAGCCTGACCTCAGGCGGAAGCCACATGAGGGACCCCTTAAGGTTTGGGGTGCTGTAAACAGGGCTACGAAGCTCAGAGAGAGGCATCTTTTGGTCAAAAAAATCTACCCACTAAAAGGAACCCATGCTTCAGATATGTGAAACAGAAAAACATGAGGAAGGAAATATTGCATTCACTTAAAATGTCCACAAAGGTACAGGTGGCCGGAGCACGTATTATAGACACTGTATCAGTTTCCCAGGGCTGTTGTAACACATTTCCACTAACTTTGCTGCATAAAACAATAGACCTTTGTTCCCTCCTTGTTCTGGAGGCCAGAAGTGCAAACCCAAGGTGTCAGCAGGGCTTACTCCTTCCGGAGGTTCTGAGAGGGAATCTGTTCCCTGCCCCTCTCCCACCTTCTGGTTGGTGGTTGCCGGCAGTCCTGGTGCTCCTTGAGTTTCAGTGTGTTTCTCCAAAGTCTGCTTCAGTCTTCAAAATTTCTTCCTCTCCATGTGTCCCTTTGTCTTCCCCTGCTCTTATAAGGACCACTGTCACTGGGTTGAGGTCTTATCCTACAGTTTAATTGAGTCTGCAAAGACCCTTTTCCAATAAGGTCACATGCATAAGTTCTGGGTGAACATGTCTTTGGGGGCCACAGTTCAGCCCACTACAGACCTTATAATCAAAGGTCCTTTGCCAGGGTTCAAAAGGTGAGAGTTGACACGTTCTGGACAACTAGGTTTCCTTCCCTGTACCCCAGCCACAGGTCCTCTGGGACAGGGCGCTGCTTCCATAGCCTCTCACAGCAAACTTTTCCACCGTCACCTGCCAAAGATAATAAAGGGCTGGGGGCGGTGCCAAGAGTCCAGCATCTATAAAGCAGCCATCTTCAAATGAGATTACTCTCAGCATCCTTCCAGGACAGCAGGCGAGATACAGTTTGAAAACTCAGAACCTTTGAATGACTAAGAATTTGGTCCTGAGCTTATTCATAAACCTCAAAAATGGCCAAGATAGATTTACATGAAATCATTAGCGTTAAAAAAAATCAAACATTATCCCTAGCATATTCAACTATTATTCATTTCCTCTTCGTCTTTCACTGTTCAGATTCATCAATCATGTGTGACACTCCTTTCAAGTCATGATTTACTTTGAAAGCCACTGGAGCAGGCACCGCACCTAAGACTGCAAGACCACAGAGCTGAGGGCATCCTTGGGAACTTGAAGTGCAAGTGCAGCCCATATTTCACCTCCAAGCCATCCCTGTGGGCCTGGCCTGGAGCCATCCTGGCTACTAACAGTTCTGGTTGGGTCTAGCTATGGATTGAATGTTCCCTCCAAAACACGTGTTGAAACTGAATCCCCAGTAGGGCAGTACTGAGAGGTGGGGCCTTTAAGAGGTGATTGTATCCTGAGGGCATAGCCCTCAAGAATGGATTAATCCAGTCATGGATTAATGGGGTAATGGACTAGTGGGTTATGGTGGCAGGGGAACTGGTGGCTTTCTAAGAAGAGGAAGAGCCTGGGCTACCTCCTTAGCGTACTCAGCCCCCTCACCCTGGGATGTCTGGTGCTGCCTCTGGTCTCTGCAGAGTCCTCACTAGAGAAAGGCTCTTGCCAGATTCAGCCCCTTGACCTTGGACTTCTCAGCCTCCAGATCTGTAAGAAATAAATTCCTTTCCTTACATATTACTGAGTTTCAGGTATTCTGCTAAAAGCAACAGAAAACAGACTACTAGAGGGCTCTCTTTGCATTCACCCCTGCAGAGCTCCCCTCCACTCCCTGAGGAAATGCAAGGACTGTGACAGGCGGAGCATGCAGCACCTTGGAAAAGGTAAAGTTTCCAGCCATGTGGTCATGGCCATATTAGAACAATTACAGTGATTTATTGTCTGTGTCCAATGGCATAGTCTGATTGCGAAGGCACAGAGGGGTTGTTGGGAAATACACTATAGCCTTTGTGAGTTGGTGTGGGACTTAGCAGGAAACGGATGTGGGTGTGACCAAGTTGCAAGCACTTGGGCTCTGCAGTGCCAGTGTAGCTGGGATGCCACGTGCAGGTGTGGAGATAGGATCCACTATGGATGGCCCCATCAACATCAGGAGCTTCTGACATGCTCCTATAGCCATGATGGAAATAGTCTACAGCATAGTGCTTTTACTTTAAAAAATTCTCTATTTGATTAATTTGGCCAATAAGTAGCCAAATGAGAGCTGTGTGGTGATTTGTTTCAAAATCAAATGATTTTATATGGGAAAATAGGAATTATGGCTCTGATTATGATATTATCATTATTACAATTAATTTTAATTAAGAATTTTTATTAGACCTCATCAACTGAAGTAATGGATGTGCTATGAAATAGATTTGCTCCCCCATATGAAAGGGTCTTCATCAGGACAAGAAGCCATGGAAAAATTATGCACTTTGACGACATTAAAGATGCCACAACCATGTTCCTGAAGGACCAGAGAAGGGGACGTGCCCTGGTGAAGACTTTTTCCTGAAATTTTCCACTTTCTCAGTACCCGATCTGAGCAACTGGGGGGGTCAGGCCAGAACTCTAGTGCATGTCTGGGTGCATTGTTCTCAGGGATGACCTAGATTTTTCATCTTTTTGAGTGCACTGGGTCTGGACTCCGAAATGTGGATTAGCGACAGGAACATCTACACCCCAGCGTGGTGGTGTCAGAGCACCCAGTGTTCTGCCACGTCCCATCCTGTGAGCAGTGAATGGTCAGGTGGGGAGCGGGGCACCATCCCCCTCCACCAGGCAGGGCTATTTGCAACAGGTAATCAGGAGTTGAACACCCCCCCACTCAGCAGCATAAAACTCACTTTAATTAACGTCAATGCATTTCTTTACATCCACAGCCTCTTGGAGGAGCTAACCCAAAACAAACCAAAGTGGGGGGGGGGGAAATCTCAATTGTCTGGGGGATTTTAAGAGAATTTCTTAATATCAGATTAAGCCCATTTTGATTGTAAATCTGTTTTCAGCTCAACATTACCAAAGAATATTACAAGAAAACTCGGCTTTATGAAGTTATTACGGTTTAAATCGTTCTCTCTCGGCTCTTCCTCTCTGACTTTCCCTCACACACACTTCCCCTCTCCAGAGGATCTAAAAATAAGCCTGGAGCTATCCTTGTCAGCGCTCCCGGTTCACCCCACAGACCAAGCAGTTTCTCACAAAATACCTTTATGATTTTCAAGGGTTCCGCGGCAGTATCCGGAAACAAAGGTCGCTTCAGGGCTGGGCCGTAAAGGAAGCGGAAGCGGGGCTACGTCATGGAAAGAAAAACCATCCTCATCTCGCGGGGTTTCCCGCGCGCGTCCCAGTCTCTGCTGAGCGCGTGGAGCGCTCTCGCGAGAGGAGGAGGAAGGGCCTTGGTGGGCGGGCGCACTCGGGGCGCGCTGTGGAGACTACTCCAGCCTCGTCTCCTCACCGGAGCGCTTGGCTTCCAGCCCCTGAGGCGCGCATTTCCGGGCCTGTTCTGAGGCCCGTTTGGCCCCGGAACCTGAGGCAGCGAGGGGTGGAAGCCACTGGGCAGCTGCGGTGCGTCTCCCAGCCGCGTCCTCCGCCTGCCGCCCGGCAGCAGAGCGCGGAAGCGGGCGTCGTGGTGGAAACAGTGTTCCCAGCGATGGCCGCGCCCAGAAGATTCCGTGGCACGGGCCCCGCGTCACCTAAGCCAGTGACTCCCCAGAAACGCCACGCACGTCGTCGCCAGCCAGCTTTAATTAAGTGGAAGCAGAGGATGTTTCAGCAGTTGCCGTCGCCGACGTGCCACGGGATCGACTCGGTATGTGGGAAATTGATCTGTGAATACAGATACATTTCACAGTCCGGCAGCGTCCTCTGAAGGCTTAGCTCTGGCTTTGGTGGCGTTTTGGGGGGCCCTCTGAAATGGGCGGCACAACCGTGTCAACTCCCAACGGAGACAGGACCCGGCCGACGGCGGTGTCAGGGGTGCAGCCTTCCCGAGCTTTCTGGGAATAACGGACAGGGGGCCCTCACCCTCGGGGCCCTTGCTGTGTGCCGGGCTCAGGGCAGACGGCCTGGCAGCCCCTGGCTCGTTTAGGTCCAGGTGGATGCTGCACAGTTCGTCTACTTCCTGCGCATTTTGTCACTTTTTGATGTTTCTGAAATTGGGTTGTGGCAATGTGCGTTCTGTCTGGCAAAACACATACCGCCACATTAAATGCGCACATCGATTTAAAAGCAAGCCATTGATTTAAGCCGTTTTAGAAGAGGGGTAATAGGGTGCTACGATCCCCATTGACAGCCGAGGCAAACTGAGAGAGACAAAGGAACCTGCCCATGGGCTGGGGGACACAGTCCAGGCCCAGGTCTCCCTCCTGCAGGAGCTTGGCTTTGACACTCTTCTCCTTGTGAATATCTGTGAGAAAAGCAGAGCTAATTTATGTGCTCTGCAAGTGCCCACTGCTAGAGGAAAGGTAGGGATATTTGGGGCATATCCCTAAAATTCGGAGGTTGTGGTTACAGAGTGAGAACATAGTTTTCTTTGTCTCTGCACACCTGGTACCAGCAGAGACACTCTGTGCTGGTACCAGGTATGTGTACCAGTATGTGTGGCTGTATGTGTGGCTGTCGGGGAGGGGGAAGGAGGGCAATGATGTGGCTCAGGATGGCAGGGGTGTGGCACTTCATAGCTGGACTTTCCCTATCTGTCACCTCTTACTTTCTTCTAAGTTCCTCCATTTTCTTCTCCTTTTCTCTTTCCCTGAGCATCTTGGTACTACTGGTGGTTTTGTGGGCTCTGATTAGCTTCGTAAACACCCACGGAGGTCACCGCCTCTCACGTGGTCTGGTGTTGGCCCAGAGTCCACAGTCGGTCATTTTTGTGTGTAGCAGTGATGCCACATGCTTACTTCAGCAACACTGGTCCAGGCATGCAAACGAGTAGGAAGTCTTTGTCAAACGATCCATGGCGGATTAAAAAGGCCACTTCATCAGTGTAACTTTATGCTCATGTAAATGGGCATAAGTGATCGGAGCTTGGGCCGTAGCTGGGGTGCGAAAGTGATTGCTTTATGGGAAGGGAGTCTTCTTCCAAGTTCTTTCAATTTCCTAATGATCCAGCTCCCAGAATCCCTTTCAAGACCATTTTATTGAAAGTTCACCTGCTCAGGAAGTGGGGGAGCTGCCCAGCAAAGTCAAGCTGCGCAGAAACACGGCCGCAGCTTCCTCCCTGTGCACCACATTCTCAGACCTGGCAGTCTCGGGCTGGAGCTGGCCCAGGCCGCACAGCCTCTTGAGTGCAGGCAGCCTCGCTCCTCATTTCGCATGTCTTTTCTTGGTGCGTCAACATTAGGTCCAGTGTGTGGAATCCGAGGAACTAGGATTGCTCCTGGGCAGAAAGATGGACAAGGAAGCTAGTGGGATGCCCATGTTTCCTAGAGGAATGTGCTGTCATGAAGCCAAGGTGCATGCCTCCTCTTTTCCAGGATGGACTTTTTCCTGCGTTTGCCTAGAGGAGCTGTCCCAAGCAAGCCAAATAGCTAAGGTGCTTCTGCTGAAAAGCTCTGGCCAAACTTCACCAGGCTTTGGGCTGTTTTATGAAGAAATTACATTTAAAATGTCAGCTTTTCTCTCCAAGAGAAAGACATTTCTATCCGATTCATAAGACCCTCCTCCCCTGGCCACGCTGCCCGCCTACATGCAGTGTCTCCATCCTGTGGAACAGAGCTGCTGTGCTCACGGGTGGAATTGACCAGAGCACTTGCACCTCTTCCTCAAGGCTCTTCCTGCAGCCTGGGCATTCACACTGGGGGAGCGAAGATGCCATCCGGGACAGAGCAGCAGTGGGCTGTACTTGCCAGCACATTTGCTAGAAGCTCTTCCTACATCTTGCTTCACCCACAGGCAAAGTCGCACAAAAGGAGAAGCAGCTTAGGGTTAGTGTTTGGGGAGATTCATAATGACCTGCGAAGGCGGTTGCGGGAGGATGCTGCCGGTTTATGGAAGTCAGTGGAGTCCTAGGCTGCACTCTGAGTCCAAACATTCTGGCAGCATCTGAGTGACAGAGCCAAGCCTCTCAGAGCAGGAGGGACACCATTCTTAGGTGTTTTATTTCACAGAAGGACTTGAACCTTTATATTATATTGCATAGTTGTGTTATGAAAAATTCCAGATTTCCAGAGCTATTTTTAATATTCTGGTGAGTTTTTAAACTGGAGAAATGTCCTAAAATGAAATGCAGGTAATGAAAGGCACAGAGACTGTGCCAACAGAATACAGAAGTCTTTAAGTCCATGTATGAGAAAATCAGTCCTGCGCCTTGTTTGCAGAACAGAAAGTAGTTCTAGAGGCCAAGAGTAAGAACTGATCTGCAGATTTACCACGGTTGCAAGAAGTATGGCTCTATTGTCCTGAAACAGGAAGAGACACCAGAGACAAGGCAAAAACGGGATAATAACGAGGGGCCCGGCCCTGCCTTCACTGGACAGTGGCTCCCTGCCCCAGGGGTGGCCGTGTCATAGACATATAGAGAGAGACTTTTTAAAAGGTATGTCGATAGGCAGACACAGTTACAGACAGAAGAATACAGACATATACAGACACAGATGAACATGGAAACAGGTATAGACAGACACAGTCTGGATATGGCCAGACATGGATACACGGGCGTAGCATAGACATAAATATCAGAGAGAAAGAGGATGGAGATAGGAATGTAGAAATGGACTCACATGGAGCAGAGCACAGGTTTAGACGCAGGTAGCTGGACATGGATATGGAGAGAGCCGGAAACACATGCTCAATCCGCACGTGTCTGCCTCCTGGGCACTAACTCCGGGAGTTTTAGGAAAGAAAGTTGCACACCCTGCTTACAGCAGGCCCAGCCCAGTGGGGGCAGGACCTTATCGTTGCTTCAGTAGCAAGTGACAGTCCTTGTGGTGGAAGTAAGAACCACAGGCTGCAAGAGCCAGCGGAGGCCCTGACGCAGCCTAGGGAGGAGGTACTGGGACAGGCAAGAGGCAGCGGGCCAGCCTGGGAGCCATGGGGGCAGAGGAGGAATAAAGATGATCCAGGTGGGCAGCATGCACAGGGTTTGGGGACGTCCACACCCTTGTTTTTGGTCTCCATGTGAGTGTGGGTGCATGTACAGCTCGTGTGCCCCCAGCACACCAGTTCAAGTGGGGCTTCCAGGGTTCCCTGCAGAGACTCACTGTCAACATGGCATAACATAGCTGCCTGCAGGGGCTGGGAGAAAAGGAGGCAGGAGAGGCCTCCGACCTCAGGTGGTGTGGTCTCCCCAAGGAGGACATTGACATGGCACTGGGAGAGAACCTGAAGTAATCAGCCAGAGCCCACAGGCTGGAGCTTCCCAGTGTGTGGTCTGAGAGGGTTTCTTCCCAGTGTGTGCCACGGTTGCAGGAACACTGAGCTCACAGATGAGGTCGGGGTGAAGGAGGGAGCAGGGCTGGAGCTGTGGCTGTTGCAGAGCATCCCAGGAAGTGTGCCAGCCACTGATTCTCCACTGAGGGCTTCACTCCCTTGGAACCTTCCACTAGAAGAAGCCACTTAAGCATGACCACCATCTGGGACACTGCGGAAGACAGAGACCTTGGAGTGTGCAGAAAGGTTGGAATGAAAGGCCAGGGGAGGGAGTCCATTGGGACGAAGCTATGAGGAGGGATGGGACATTCCAGCACAGATCCCAGGAAAGGATACTGTTGTCATAGGTGATCCCTATGTGCTGGCACTGCTGCAGGACGGGCTGAGCTAAAATCCTGCACACTGACCTTCACTGATTCTCAAGACCCGTGAACTAATGACCCTCCTGTCCCCATCCACAGCTGTCTGGGGCACTGCACCCTTGTTTGGCCCACCGTGCCTGCCACGCATTCCCCCAGGGGCTGACTGGCTGCAGAGGCAGGGCCTCGTGGCTGCTTTGTCTACTGATGAGGTTTGTCCCAGACCCTCATCATCGCTGGGGATTTTTGAAACCTTGTAACAGAATCTTCTTGGCAACAATTAGAGCCCATCTTCTATGCAAATCTCTGGAATCTAGGACAGGAACCCAGACTTCTATCCTCACCAGAGCCAGGCGCGTCCAGGAGGCATCTCACTGAGATGCTTTATGCTTGCGTGGTCCTAACCCAAGGAGGCTGTGCTCCAGGGGGAGCTGCCTGAGAAAACTGAGTACTGCTGGCTGGTGACAGTCTTGCCATTTCATGGCAGAGCACAACTGTGAACTTACTATGCCAATGCAAATCTATGCCCCAAACCAAAATTGAGCCTGGAACTC